TATCTTTATTTGCAACTTTTTGAGAAAGCGCCACAATGCTTTCCACAGTGGTTGTACCATTTTACACTCCCACCAACAGTGAATCAGGTTCCCAGTCTCTCCACAACCTCGCTAGCATTTGTTGCTTGCAGTTCTGTTAAATTTTGCTAATCTTACTGGAGTGAGATGATATCAAATCAAGGCTCCTAGGATTTTTAATCTTTCTCTCTCTGTGAACTTGCCAACCCGTAGTGGCTTAGCTGATTGGGAGTTGTGTTGACAACCTAAAGACTACACTTCTCTAGCAGTTCAAATCCACCAATAGCTCTGAAGGCAGCAGACTCCTCCTGTGTGATTTACAGCCTTTGAAAACCCACAGGAGGGTCAGCTGCGAGTCAGCTTCTACTTGATAACAGTAAGTAGAGTAAAAGATAAGATTTATAAGAGTGATCATACAATATTTGTCCCTTCGAGTCTGATTTCTTTCACTCAGGATGATTCTTCCCTATGTAATAGCATGCATGAAGATTTCCGTTTTCTTATGGTTAAATAATATTTCCCTGTATGACTGCGTGATATTTTTTTGTTAATGGACACTGACTTATCTCCACTTTTTTACTGTTGTGACAATACTGCAGTGAACACTGTGTGTATGCCTGGAGTAGAACTGCTGAATCTTATGATAATTCGATTTTCACTTTTTTATTCCCTTCGACTTTTTTAATGTTAAAATAATCAATTCTTTATGAAGTAATGATGGCAATGAATGAAGGCTGAATTTTTTCATAGTTTTGATTGCCTAATCCTTTTATATTTTTTATTCTTAATTATACATTTCATAAGTTTCTATAATTTTAGAAATTACAGTCCAGTCTTAAAATAATCATAAATCCATTTTAGAGCATATCACAAAGAAATACATTTCCTCTACATTAAATCTTGTACATATTCTAAAGATACATTTAATACCACAGTAAAAGCTTATAAAGTGAGGCTTAAAAGCAAATCTTGCCTCATTTTAATATCTTTACTTAACAAGATAAAATGTGGATTCCCATGTTGATAATCTCATTTAAGACCATGCCCTGTTCTATAAAATCCCCAAATCTGGATGGACTTTCCTGAGAGGCAGCAGCAGCTTAAATTGCTTGTGTGCTAGGGGTGCCCTCTCAATCACAGAACCACACAGACAGAATCCAGAGGTTCTAAACATTGAGTTCATTTTCAGGACTGGCATATGCACAGGGAAGCTTGGCTGGCCTAGTGCTAAGGAGTTCTCTGCTAACCCAAAGGCAGGCAGTTCAAACCCACCAACTGCTCTCTGGGAGAAAAATGAACAATCTCCTTCTATGCGACTTGCTGCCTATGAAAACCCACTATGAATCAATTCTGACTCAACTGTATTCAATAACAACAGCACTCACAAACAGAACGGAAAGCAATGCCCTTCACCACAAATACCTCAGTCCTTCAGTCCCTATGTGCCATTTGCCTGGCTTCACTCCCTTTGCTCTGGCTAGTGCTGTCAAATGGGTCTCCAGCTCATGACAAACACACAACAGAACAAAATACTGCTCAGGCTTGAGCTGGCCTCATTACCAGTTCCCAGTCAGACCAGTGTAGTCCACGGAGTGTTCACTGACTGATTTTTAAAAGTAGATTGCCAGGCCTTTCTTCCTACTCTGGCTTAGTCTGGAAGCTCTGCTGAAACCCGTTTAGCATCACAGAAGAATCCAAAGCACTACTGACAGGTTTTGACTACACAAATAGTCTTACTGATTTTTTTCAAAATTACTCAATTCTTGAAGGTCCCTCTACTCTGAGGCCAACCTTACAACCCTTCTGTTGTTCTTGTTGTGCACCATTGAGTCAGAACCAACCCATAGGAGCATCTCCAACAGAGCAGCTGATGGATTTGAACCACATTCTTTCAGGATCACTATACAGCTTCTTACCAATAGGCCACCAGAAGGCGCGCGCAGGCGTGTGTGTGTGTGTGTGTGTGTGTGTGTGTGTGTGTGTGTGTGTGTCTCTATTCACATGGTTACACTATTCAAAAAAGCATGCTAGGAATTTATGGTGGCCTAGTGGCAAGAAGCTGTGCTGCAATCCCCAAGGCACACGGTTCAAGTTCACACCTGCTCCATGGGAGAAGGATGGGCAATCTCCTCCCGTGCTTCTGAAAACCTGCCAGAGTGTCAGCTATGGGTCCGTTCCAACAACAACAGCATTAATCAGTATAAGGAGATCGTTATAAAGGTAGTTTTAACTGTCTTTAAACAGTATAAACAGTCAGCCCTGGCAGTATTGATGGTTCAGTAAGAGAATTCTTGCCCTCCATATGGGAGACATAGATTCAATCAACCACTAACCATTTCACCCCATGCATAGACATGCTCACTTCTCTGTCAGTGGGGGCTTGTTTGTCGGCTGTGATGCAGAACAGGTATCAGCAGACTTGCCAGGCTAAGATGGACTAGGAAGAAAGGCCTATCAATCTACTTCTGAATGTCAGTCAATGAAAACCCGCTGGACCTGTCACAGTGGCCTGATTCTCCACTGACCATGGGGATAGTACAGGACCAGGCAGCCCTTGTTCCCTCCTGTGAGGGTCACCACAGGCTTCAGGCTGACTCCCCAGCAGCCACACAAACAGCATCAGCCAGCCAGCCGTTCTGTAGAGATTGACTGTTGTTTGTTTTCAC